CACATAAGTGGCGCAACTGATGTGGTATTGTGATAAGGGGAAATTATTTTGGTCAAAGTCCGGTAATTACCGGCTAACGGAAACTCTGCTGCTATTCTTTCACACACACATACGGGTATTGGGCCGAGGGTGACACCGTACTTCCGGTATCCGCCGTTTTACGCGAGGTGCAAGCAGGCCAAGGGTTTAGCCGTACACCGTTTAGGTGTTGCTAAGCTTCCTGTACTGAATATTATAGTCTATTGCCTTAATCAATATCTAGTCAACTCTAAAATACCACATATATGCAATGGCATGATAATATTATTGTGACAAGTGGGGTATTCACCTGGGGCCTATACTACGAAGCTGGTTCAACCTAACCTGGATATGTTTGAGTTAGCCGGTTGGCCTAATCCAAAACATACGCGCTCTCGCTAAACTGTACTACGACGCTTGTTATCAAGTGGATCGCTCAAGCCAGCCGTTTCCTATCTAGTTAGGTGTGCGTTCACATGAAAGGGGTGGTATTTGGAGCATTCGACCAATCACAAACATGGAGAAGCGCACTGACAGCGCAGCGTCATACTTCCTGAATGAAAAGTGAACTGTAATACTAGTCAAAAATGAAGAAGTTAAACTTTAAACATCCATGACTTAAACACTTTATTCAGGATAAAAGCCACATAGTTGCACGCAAGGTGAATACAGCTGGCAAAAGAAAAAGTGTTTGAATGCGTACATTAACAGGGTTATGATATCACTGCCCCGTCTAAAACACGATTTGACTTTAATTACATTTGTCTCGAGTGTTTCGTCAACTTAATGTGTTGCTTAAAATAATACTTCTGCATACAGTATGTGACACTGTGAGTGTTGCACGGCCAGATACGGCTCAGCTGACTCAGATAAGAAAATATATGATAGGCTACATTAAGTGATATGCCGCGGACTGTACTTAATGTTACTCTGATCCGGTTACTTATGTTGTGGTAGATATGTGGTAAGTGTTCTTAACGCTAATGTTATAATAGTCAGATTGCTCTGAAGATGGGAGGTGATATTCTATTAATGTTCACGTTCACACAGCCGGTGATTTTTGCCGGCCGTCTTTCCTGCGACGGCAGTTTTTCTGTATTTCCTTTCTCCTGTAATATGACTTGATCGCTTTAAACTCCGCACACTGAGCTCTGATTGGTCAGCAGGCAGTGCTTTCACTGAGTTGAGCTCTTAGCCTGCAACCTAACCTGGTCCGACCAGGTTAGCCGCTAAGCATAAGTTACCATGGAGATCTAGCCTGCTAAAAAGAGAACCAGCTTCGTAGGACCGGAAAGCCGGAGTTTTCCCTGAATTTAGCCAGCTAAGCGAAAATCCTGCTTCGTAGTATACCCCCCTGGTGTTTCCAGAAATTAGACGTAGATGCAGCCAAAATCGACGCAGTCTGTAAGGGCAATCCGACAACCCACACAGCTCTAGTTTACGCTGGTAACGACCTAGAGCACACCCCTCAAGTCCAGAGATGTAATCCGAAGACATGCAGCGATTTCTTAGGTCGTTAATTCAGAAAAAAAACCTAGTGCGCTCTGCCTTGCTACGTTAGCTAGCTGTTTATATGAGCACCTCCAGGATATTAGCACCTCCAGGAAAATTGCGTATTTATATATATATATATGGTGCGTGTTGCATTGTCGGTAGCTCGTGACGTCACTGTGTGTGAAAGAATGATCCTCTCTCCTCTCACTGCACTGGGTTCGATGTCTACAAGCATGTGAGCGTGTTTACATGCATGTGTTTGTATGTTGCCATATGCTGCAGCTTTATATCACAAGCAGTGAGGACCCAGGCTGCAGCGAGATAAGAGGATTAAAGATAGGTGGCCAATCGACACACCTCTTCTTTCCCATCCTTTCTCTACTTTTCCATCATTTCCCTTGAGTCTATTTTCATCATATTGCTTACACTTGCCTGCCCAACACACAGATGTTGGTTAATTAACGCTCAGGCTTGACCCAGTCAGGCAGCACCTCTTATTGACTTTGTAAGTCACGTTTGGCACGCACACAGGAAGCTAATACTACAGCTGTTATTAGTACAATGTAAGCAGGTTGCCAGGAACAGGAAGTGTACAGTTCAATGAGTCCTGACTGTACTTTTTGCTACGTCATTGTTGCATCATCTTTAAGGACATCTTCCGGCCAGTGAAAACACTGGGCGCTGTGTCTGTGTTTGTTTATACCAGAACAAAAGGTGTCACCTTAAAGGCTAAACTTTAACTTCTAAGCCTATATGTCCTTATGTTTGACCAAGGTTAGGGTTATGGTTAGGATATCTTATATTAGATTATGATCATTTTTTATCTGCCACCTAAATCTACCTTCGGGTCACCATAAATAACCTGAACCTATGACTATTGATCAAATGCCAAATAATATGTCAAAGCGTGAATTTTGAAATATGCTTCCTTAAAAAACTCTGAATACTTTTTTGTCTATTGTTTTTTTACGTTTTAATCAGAACTGTTTTGTTGAATTAATTTACCACCAACAGGTGTGCATCGTACACTGAAGAAATTAAATATTGACTTTATTCAAATGTATAATGTCAACAGGTAGTTGAAAGCAATAAGTTGAACCTAAAATTCTGAATTTAAACTTAATATTATTGCATTCAACTAACCTAATACAGTTATGTGTATTTTCTTTACATAATACATTTATTTAAGTCAACATTTCAATTTGTTTCCAGTGTATCATCTTATTTTACTCTTCTAGGATAGGATAAAAGGACGGGGAGGAAAAAAGGATGAGGCATTTTTTTATTCTTGTTTGAAATGCATGCTCATCATTTATTCTACCTATTTCATAAATCAAGAAGAAAGATGAAATGCCCAAAATAAAGTAACAGTAATGACGTAAAGTAGATTAAGAATAGATTGTGGGCTGTCCCATGAACGAGTTGTATGTGCCGTGTCTGAAAGCCTGGCAGTGTGACATGGTGGCCGACAGGTAATCCCTCCTGTGACAGAGCCTGGAGTTTAGTCAACAGGAATAGAGGGATTAGCCCTATAAAGGCAGGAGGGAATCCTGACTCCGTCACACAAGCAGAGGAAGAGTGAGAGACAGAAACAGGCGTACTCACCATTCGAACAGGAGATTTAAAAGAGAGTGCCTGAGCGAGTCAAATACTGCAACAAGTGGTAATCTTGAGTTGGGGCGTTCAAGCTGGAAAAATGACTATTATCAAAATTGTCAGACCGTGAGTACACACTTCTGACTGATACATAATAATTGTAGCTGCGTCATGTTTTTTTACACATGTGTTTTCTCGTTAATGAGCAGGGATGGAGCACAGCAGGGCTTGAGAGGGATTATTTGATTGAAACCAGGTGATGTTTAAGGCTTTCTGAAAAACATGTATTCAACATTTTATTTAGAGATAATATTAGTTGGGGTTGTTTGAGTCACTCTCATACTTTATCACAGGCAGTGTATTATCTACTTTGGTGTTTCGGTTTCACCCAAGTCACACAACAACACTTACCAATTGAGACAAAGGTAAACCTTTGACATTACTGTTTTTATTAATGATCATTTGTGGGTTTGTAGAGAGCAAATAAGTATATTACGGCTATAGTAAGAAAGAGCGGTCTGACAGCTAGGTAAAGCGGTTAAAATATTCTTAGTATAGTACACATACACTGATAGCGATTTTTTTTCAGTTGCATAAAATACGTTATTCGGTAAGCCACTCAAAACTGTGGGCGTTCTGAGTAAGCAGTTGTGGCAGAAATACTCAGATCATCTGATTTTAACTCGTTTTCCTATGGTGCAAAAAAAAAGATATTAAGCAACCAGTCATTAATTACACTGTAATCTGAGTTATTTTTATATTTTTATTTTTTTGAACTGTATTGTCATACTATATCGTAGATATTTTATTTAAGTGTATTTGAAGTGTACTAAGTGTTATGTTCGTAACCTGAATTTAAATCAGGCTTTGTAATTATTTGAGTGACCGAGATCATGCAAGTGTATTTCAAGTGTACTATGTATTAATTTATTGAGCTGTACTTAAATCAGGTTTTAAAATTGTTTGACTGATAGAGATCATGCAATGTTATTATTTGTTTATTGATTGTTATGAACCTGTCTGAGGACCACAGATGGAAATTAGCTATTATCTATAATCTGGCATATTGCATCTCTTCTCTTTGCTGAGATTAATGTTTTTGTATGCATGGTCCTTCTATAAATAAATAAATAAAAATAAAGTAAAATTAGAAATTGGCTACTAACTATGTTCTTAAGATACTCCATTACAAATCTTGAATCAAAAATGTCACTTGAGAAGAAGTAGTGACGTTTTATTATCCACAATAACATGTCATAACCTTTTAATTAGTACAATTCGCCTCTAAAATGTAGTAGGTTAGCATAAATTCTAAATACTCACGTAAAGAAGAAGTGTCAAAATAGCATTTAAGTACTATACTTGAGGAAGTGTCACTTACAGGTCCCTATTAGGAGTTTATCCTTCTGCTTTTTCTTTAAAGCAAGCCAATTTCTTTATGAAATCAAAGCTGCTTCAATTAGTTTTGCCTTACCATTTTAAAATCAGAGTGCCTTCATTCGTCTTGATAAAAAGAGCATCCTCGTTTGTATTCTATTGCTGCTCCAGGGTTCTTGATCAGTTGTACCCAACGATAGCAAATAGCAAAATAACTCATTTGACCACTGCTGTGTGTCTTTCGTAGCAGGAAGTCCTAAATGGAAGTTAAAGTACCCTATGTAAAGATGTGATGACCATTGTCTGTTGGTTTCTTTACATGACTCAGCAAAAGATCCTTAGACTGATGATATGGGGTGGACTAGAAGCTAGCATATGCTGTGTGTCCTTCCACCTGTTTACATGACTCATCAGATTGTACAGTCTTAAATCAGGGCTGAGGTTACTGGACCAGTTGCATGTCTGCTTTCAGTATGACCTGTAAAATAATATACGTTTGTTTTCTTGTGTTTCAGAGTGCCAACTGTTCCTGTAAAGAACCTGAACGGATCAAGCCCGGTACACCCTGCACTAGCAGGTACATATCATTTATTTTTCCTCATTATATTTAAATCGGTCTAAAATTAAGCTAAGGCATTTTAAAGTTAAAGGTTTTGGACTTCTCAGCTCTTTAAAGAAATGTTTGTATGTTTTTTAACTTGTGATGTACTGCCACAGCTAATGATATTAAGCCCCAAATGTAACTAGTAAATCCACTAAGAATATGTCACATGTATGGTTGACACATAAATATCTACATAAAGAGCTCATCATGCACTGGAAAAAGCACAATTTGTGTTGCACTGTTGGATGAGCCTGGGACTTTAGCTTTTCTGTTCCTGTGCTGTAGCTTTTGTACATACAGCCTTTAAATCTTGGATCTTGAATCCAGTGTCTAACATGCCCCCTCTGCTGGCTGTACCCAGGCATTACAGGCATCCTTATGAGCGCTGCAGGACTTCCTGTCTGCCTGACCCGCCCTCCCAAGCTAGTGCTTCATCCTCCACCCGTCAGCAAGAGTGACATCAAGCCCATCCCAGGCCTGGGCCACTGCTGCCGCAAGACCACCAAGAAGCAGGCTCGAAAAGGTGGGTTTGATGATATAGACTGCTTGTGCTATCGCTTTTTTTTACATGTTTCATATCCATCGTGTGCATTTTGGCAATGAATACATCATCACACTCTGTGTTTCCATATCATAGGAAAGACCCCTGAGGAGGTGGTGAAGAGGTACCTTCAGAAAGTCCGCAATCCCCCAGAGGAAGTGAGTTCTCCTTATTGCAGTTGTATTTTCATTGACTAAACATTAAAACACATGTATAAATCTGTCTATATCAGATTTGACAAGTCATTTATCGTACTCGTCTTCCCCCCCCTCAGGACTGTACCATCTGCATGGAGGCCCTGGCCGGACCCTCGGGCTACAAAGGCCCCGGGGTGGGGGGCATCTCCCGGGCCGAGTCGGTGGGCCGCCTGGCTCAGTGCGGTCACCAGTACCACCTCCAATGCCTCGTTGCGATGTACAACAATGGCAACAAGGACGGCAGCTTGCAGTGTCCCACATGTAAGACCATCTACGGAGTCAAGACCGGCAACCAGCCCCCGGGCAAGATGGAGTACCACGTCATCCCCCACTCGCTACCCGGCCACCCGGACTGCAAAACCATCCGGATAATTTACAACATCCCTCCTGGCATCCAGGTAGAGAATTACTCATGCTAACATGACATTAGCTTCTGAATGGTGACTTGGTATTGGTTCAGGAACATGTGATGAACTTCGCTTTTGCTTTTTAGGGCCCCGAGCACCCGAATCCAGGCAAACCCTTCACTGCCCGCGGGTTCCCCAGACACTGCTACCTCCCTGACAGCGAGAAGGGACGCAGGGTAAATGAGAACTCCTCTATTCGTGGAAACAGCACACTTGTGGCTAGAAGTAGTGAGAACTCAAAGATGTCTGATGTTCAGTATGACAAAGTTATAAACTATAACACACAAGTTGAATATACTTGTCAATTTATTTAACAAATTGTGAATAATGTAATCTATATTTATTCCACTTTACCAGGTGCCATAAGGTTTTCCAATATTGAACTATTCACATTTAAAATCTCTAATACAACCTCTCTATTCACTATTTTAAGGCTGTTTGTTTATTTTTTATGACAGGAAGCATTTTTCGTACATAATTCATCGAGACCATCGTACATTTGAAAATTGGACCACAATTATAATTTTTTTAACAATTTCCGACTGTTACACATTTTGAGATTCAAATGATTCATAGGCTTTATTGTCACATGCACAATATCTACAATAGTAAGGAAGTAATACAGTACAGTAAAATAGTGAAAGTGACTCAATGGTGCAAGTAAAATGCACTTTTTAGGAATAAGAGAATTGTGTACTTTTGGCAATTTTCCAAAGAAAAACATGCCTTTCAAACCGTAACACTGCCTTTCTTTATCTCTTCGTCCAGGTGTTGAGGCTTCTCCTGGTAGCGTGGGACCGCCGGCTCATTTTCTCTGTGGGTACATCGAGCACCACGGGCGAGTCAGACACAGTCATCTGGAACGAGGTGCACCACAAGACGGAGTTCGGCTCCAACCTAACGGGCCACGGCTACCCCGACCCCGGACACCTGGACAACGTTCTGGAGGAGCTCAAGGCCCAGGGCATCACGGAGGAGGAGTGCCTGTCCAGAGACTGAGCCCAGACATTCAAGATGCTGAAGGTCAAACAAACGATGCTGGGAAAGGATCCACAGCTGGACAGATGAACTATTTTCCAAATCTGATAACACAGAGACACTTTAACCACCAGAGATGGATAACAACTTCAAAAACTCTTTTTGAATTGGATCAAATTCCTCTTATGACTGCATGAGTCAGTTTCAATATGTGGGTTTTTTTTCTCCAGATGCAGTATTGGTGTCATCACCGCAGATTCAGTGAGACATTGGAGGCCACTGTGCACATACAGTCAGTCAGTGTTAGATTAAAAAAAGCTGTCATTTATACGGTGAGACTTCATTTCAAGAATGTAACGACGACGTGTTTACCACCACTACTGCTGCTGCTACGTGGAACTGAAAGCAGGGGAAACTGGGGGAAAGAAGTGGAGGTCTGTGCGTGTTTCAAGTGTTCGTCCACAAGCAGAAGATAAATATTTCAAGTGTATAACTGGATATCTGAGCATGACTATTTGCTGACCTCTAGTGGTATTTTTCCAGAACTACATTCCTTTTTAGCTTTGATTTGTATTGTTGTATATTATGAATACTTGATATATTATATGATATGGTTTCCATTCTATCATGTTTTTTATATTTTAATTTGACATTTTGTTTTATATGCCGTGTTTTCTTTGCATTGTTTTTTGGGTGTGGCGTTAGATAAGATTAACTGCTGGTGTACCAGAGTTTGCCTGACACTTTATATGCCATATACCAGTCCCCCCGTTTCTTTAAAATAAAAATCAGTATTTTGTATTTGATATGTTCACAAACTGACATTCCTTAAGTGTTCTGCCCTGAGAGCATGGGTGCATTTAAAAGCTTTCTATGTCTTCTTGTATCTACGTTAATGTTAAGGAGGAGGAAAAGCTACTATGGATTAAATCCTTCCCCGCAGGAGGAGTAAATACCCAAAAAGCTAGGATTGGACGTCATGCTTGAGCTCAGACTTGCACAGAGCTTTCTACTTATATCATCAAAATGAACCGGAAAGCTTGTATCTGCTGTATTTTTGTGTAGGACACACACCAGCCTCAAATGCTCTTATCACTCTACAAAATGTGCTTATCAGTTGATTTAGTCATATTCGGTTTTTGCAATGAGCAGGTGCAGAAGACTATCTGTTGTTGTGGATTCAGCTTTGGCCAACGCGGCTGTCAGTTTGCATTCGGTCTGTTATGGACCGGTTTATTATGAGGTACGATGAACGGGATGTACAACGGTGTGTTGACATACTGATGTAGGCCAACATTAAAAGCATTTATACTTTATGATACTTTATGTATGCGCTGTACTGTATGTGTGTGTTTTATGTGCACAAATTTGCATTAAACGTTTTTCTAAGGTTCAAAGAGATATCAGAACTTTATACTGCTTCTTTTTATGTGAGGTTTATTAAATCATGTTTATTTAAGTCTAAATTGTGTGTTACATTACAATACAAGATCAATGTAAATGCTAAAACATTGATTTATAGAGCACAATCTGTTTGCTACCTAACCAGACTATAGCAACAGAAACCAAAGTGTATTGATTCGAAAAAGTTGCATTTGTTTGCATTGTCGAAGAATGGGTGTGCCATTTCTTCTCTTCAAAGTTACGTCGCCTTGCGTAAGAATATCGTATCCCGTGAACACATCACAGGCACCAAACAACTCAGTGTCGCTAGAGTTGCAGACATGTTCTCCCGATAGGTTCAGTGCTTTTTTAATTAATGTCTGTTTGCTAATTGCACTGATACGTTTGCTGTGAAAGCACATTTTGGATTGATGTAAACCTTTGACACAGAGTTGGTTTAACCTCTTAAACCCACCGTTTTTTACGAGACTAGGGGCCCTTCTCACTTCGGTTAAATGGATTCCTTGCGTCCCTCACCTGCGTCGTTTCCCTGTGACTAGTCCCTCCCACCAGGGAAGCATGGAGAGACGCAAGGAAACCACGAGAAGCAGGGAAATGAGTTTTAAGAGCAATGGGACGTCCTTTCCTCCGGAGCGTCACGTGAAGCGACGTCCGTTTGTGATGACGCTGCACAGCTGTTCGTCTGGCAGCAGCCAGCTCTGTACCCGTTATTTCCACAAACACCCCCGCCTCTGTTAGTACACATTTACTGACACACACATTAGTATCATCTGTTGTAGATCCACATACATGAAATAAAATAAGAAGTCATTCTCAAAAAAGATAAACGCCATTCTTAAAATGTATAAACGAACAATAGTTAGATTAATATTGATTAGAGTGCACAATAGAAATAAAATAATTGAGAGAAGAAAAAGAGATATGTTATCTATCAAAACCCAGTTAGATTAACATTCATTGGATTGCACTCTTTGTGTGTTTGTGTGGATATGTAGCACATTAACATTGTAATAGCACTTAATGACTGACTGAATGGAAATGACAATAAATTAAACTGTAAAACGAAAAAAGCGATCCTGAAAATGTTTCCAATAATGATTTTTGACCACTTTTGTTCAGATCACATATTTGTAACTAAATGATACATTAATTGAAACAAAACACGGTATAAACTGAGGAGTGAGTCCCGTGAGGTTCATGTATTTTCTTCACTCCGCTGGGGTATTGCTCTCATGTCAAGAAGCATCAGATCAGTGCATGCACTGCCTCGTCCAATCAGTGAGCGATGCACAGTAAGGGGGCGGGGTGAGTATCTGATGATTTCATCGGAGGATGGTCTGGTGGTTCCTCGGTTATCGCTCCTCCATTATCGCTCCTCGCTCCTCGATCCTCGGTCCTCCGGCAGAAATAAGAGCCATGGGACGGTACTCAAGATGGCGCAGGCAAATCAACTTCCGGTGAGACCGAGGACCGAGGAGCGAGGAAATGAAAATAGTCGACCTGAGAAGCAGCCCAGGACGTCCTTTCCTCCGGAGCGTCACGTGAAGTGACGTCCGTTTGTGATGACGTTTAGGTGAAAATGTGGATGAAGCTACTTTACATTTGTATGCGGATGATACCGTGATGTACTGTGCAGGTCCCTCCATTAAGGAGGCTGGTGTTAAATTACAGGATGTTTTTAACATTATTCAGACTCAGCTCTCTGAACTAAAGCTTCTTTTAAATGTTGAGAAAACCAAGGTAATGCTCTTTTCTAAAGCTAAAAAGACACCAGAGCCTGTTTTAGATGTTGTAACTACGCAAGGAATAAAACTTGAAGTGGTTACCTACCTGTTACAAATACCTTGGTATCTGGCTTGATGATTGTCTCACTTTTAAACTTCATGTCAATAACCTGCTTAAAAAGCTGAGGGTTAGGCTAGGTTTCTTCTACAGGAACAAGTCCTGTTTCTCGCTTGAGGCCAGGAAAAGGATAGTCACTGTGGCCTTTTTACCTGTGCTGGACTATGGTGATTTGATGTATATGAATGCACCTGCCAATTGCCTGGTCAAGTTAGATGCTGCGTATCACAGTGCACTGAGATTTGTGACAAACTGTAAAGCATTAACCCATCACTGTACCCTGTATGCAAGGGCTGGTTTGCTTTCACTAACTGTACGGAGGCTCAGTCACTGGTACATTTTTATATACAAAGCCATGTTAGGGAAACTTCCATCTTATATCTGCTCCCTGATCTCACGGAAAATTGTAAGTGGCTACTGCCTGAGATCGAATGCTGTGGTTTTATTAAATGTGCCAACTGCTAGGACTGTCTTAGGGAAGAAAGCTTTTAGATGCGCAGCTCCTCTGTCTTGGAATAGTCTGCAAATTAAATGGAAACTGAATAATCTGGTGCCACTAAATGTTTTTAAAGCTCGGTTGGATGCTACTCAATCGGAAGCTATAGAGGCTTCCTAATGACGTCACGGGATTTCGCGTCAGACATCTTGGAGTACCACTCTACTGGCGGCAGCGTTAAAAAATGGCGAAAATGAAAGGCTACTACGAATCACTAAACCCGGAGGATAAGACCGTTTACAGAGAAACATGTGCGTCGATTGGTTCGGTGGACCCTTATTTGATTCCCGTTAAGGATTACAGCACTGATATAAATTCATGGCCTTCACTTTCCTACTGTGATATCGTGAACTACCTGGTTTTTTCGCCTATTCCATTGTACACCATGGAGGAAATGAAGGCGTACAAAGGACTCTAGGCACATCAAGAGTTCACATCCATGTTGTTGCTATGTACCTGTAAAGGTCTTAACATCTGATCTGAGGGGAATTTCTCGTGGTTTATCTTTAACTTGTGATTGTAAAGCACTTTGAGCTACACATGCTTTATGAAAAGGGCTTTATAAATAAAGCTTTATTATATATTGCAATATATTTACATTCCAAAAGTTGTGAACCTATTCTTGGTTGTCAGCTTCTGTTATGTGCTACCTAACATATGACAAGGTGGTTCTAAATAGTCAACAATCCAATAATATTTTTGTATTTTATTTTTCCGGTATTACATTCTCAGTATTGGGCTGCCACCAACATGTCCATGGGTATTGATGAAGAAGGATGGTGCAGTCATCACAGCTAACTGCAACTGCAAGGCTGGTTTGGGATCAACATGTACCCATGTTGCATCTCTCCTTTTCTACATAGAAACATCTATACGGATACGTGATGCCAAGACAGTTACCCAGGAAAAGGCGTCCCCTCTCAAAAGAAACAGAAGTACTAATCAATCTGAATGACAGTGTATATATTTATTTGATTGAACTTGTTTCTTTTACATCAAATCTATATAAAGAACATGTAAGTACACGGCACCTCTGTTGTTTCCCCGACTCAGACTGTAAGGAATCTGGGTGTGACCCTAGATAACAAACTGTCCTTCACTGCAAATATCGCTGCTACAACCCGTTGCTGCAGATACACGCTTTACAACATCAGGATACGTCCCCAGCTGACACAGAAAGCGATGCAGGTTCTGGTCCAGGCTCTTGTCATCTCACGCCTAGACTACTGCAACTCCCTCCTGGCTGGTCTACCTGCATGTGCCATCCGACCTCTGCAGCTCATCCAGAATGCAGCGGCTCGTTTGGTCTTCAACCTTCCTAAATTCTCCCACACCACACCGCTCCTCCGCTCCCGTCACTGGCTTCCGGTATCTGCTAGAATCCACTTCAAGACACTGGTACTTGCGTACCATACTGCGAATGGATCTGGCCCTTCCTACATCCAGGACATGGTTAAACTGTACACCCCAGCACGTGCACTCCGCTCTGCATCAGCCAAACAGCTCGCTGCACCGGCACTGCGAGGGGGACCCAAGTTCCCATCAGCAAAAACACGTGGGTTTGCTATCCTGGCTCCAAAATGGTGGAATGAGCTCCCCATTGACATCAGGACAGCAGATAGCTTACACACCTTCCGGCGCAGACTGAAAACTCATCTCTTTCGACTCCACTTCGAGCGATATAACTATTAACAAAGCACTTATATACTAATAAAGGACTGGCTTATCTAAAGCCAGTTGAGTAGCACTTGAAATGTTTGGCTCTATGAAACCTGATGTACTTATATGATTCTGTTTTCTTCAAGGTTGTATTTTGTTGGTCGAACGCACTTATTGTAAGTCGCTTTGGATAAAAGCGTCAGCTAAATGCAATGTAATGTAAGTATAACAATCAAAACAAGTTGTGCACACTAAAATGACACAAAAATCATCATTATTTAAACTGACACTCAAAGAGCAAAACCTCAGCTCAAATATCCAAAACTCTAAACACATGTTCAGCTCTGTACCCAATTTGCAATTCAACTTTCCACTTTTTGAAAAGTAAAAGTATAACAACGGTATATTTGTGTTTCTGCACATATTTTGGAGACTTGAACAATCTTTATTTGCAGAATTCTCTATATCAAACGCCATAAAACAGTGTGCTTGAGCACGATGGTGTGTAGTTGGTTTTACAAAATGTCTTGTACTATGAATGAAGTGTGTGCCATTTGGTGCAAAAGTTTGGTTTTGGTAAGTGTTTCTGTAGTTCTGGGTGCAGTGCTTAAGTCTGCAGTATATATGAGGTGTGTTGCACTTTGTGTGTATGGTTTTGTGAATTGTGTTTAGTGTTTTGAGAAAATAAGCCCTGCTTTCAAAAAATGTGTTTTAGCATTGAAAAAAACTGTAATATGAACACAATGTTAATCTATCTCTGTTATGTGAGGTGATCTCTGCAGCTTACAGTTAAAGAAGCATGTACTTGTTTTTCACTGGGTACATTGGAAACCTGTAATAAATATAATACTTTGCCCTTTCAATTGTTTTTTTCAAAATGTATTTATCCATCCATCCATCCATCTTCTTCCGCTTATCCGTGGTCGGGTCGCGGGGGTAGCAGTTCCAGCAGAGAGCCCCAAACTTTCTTTTCCCTGGCGACATCAACCAGCTCTG